TAAAAAAAAAAAGAATTTAAAAAGTAATTAGTGAATAGGTGACATGGAAGTGAGAGCTACTCTTTAAATGAGAGAGAAAAAGATAAACCTGACACTAGAGTGAGGAGGCAGCCAACATGGAATGCTGTTTCTGTTGTTGGTATTTTGGTTTAGTTTTGCTCTTTATTTATTTGTTTATTTTTAAAGATTTATTTATTTATTTGAGAGAGAGAGCGCGTGCATGCCCATGCACAAGTAGGGGGAGGAGCAGAGGGAGAGGGAGAGAGAATTTTAGGCAGGCTCCATGCCCAGAGTTGAGCCCAATGTGGGGCTCGATCTCAGGATCCTGATATCATGACGTGAGCCAAAATCAAGAGTCTGAGGCTTAACCAACTGAGCCACTCAGGTGCCCCCTGCTTTTTAATTGAGAGAGTATGGAGCGTGTGTTTGCAGTCTCTATGAACAGAGAGAGAGGTAGGACGTGAATGGAGGGCTGGCCATGGGCAGAAAGAGGCCCACATCTTTAAGATGAGAGGCAAGGATTGATGCAAATAGGGAAAAATTATGAGGCAGAAAGGAGGGAAGCTGAAATCAAGCAAGGTAGTTTGAGTTTCTGTAAAGTGACAAGGAGCAAGCAAAGGTTTGAGGTTGCAAAAGAACCCAGTTGGGTGGGACAACAGGAATCTATACTGAAACCAGTATGTCCAGTTATTAACTTTGTTCTACAGCCAAGGAACAAGAGGGGAGGAAGCCCACAACGTGGTTCACTCCAAGGTGGGGCTCATCAAACCCAGAATCTTTGGCACCAAGGGCATGGCTGGGCAGCCTCTGGCATGTGTAACAATTAGTGATCCTTGAGGTCACTGTTGTTACCTTTCTATCCTTCTGCATTATGTATTTTTTTTAAGATTGATTTATCTTAGAGAGAGTGAGAGGGCGCAGGGGGGAGGGGCAGAGGGAGAGGTAGAGAGAGAATCACAAGCAGACTCCATGCCAAACGTGGAACCCGACCTGGGACTTGATATCACAACCCTGAGGTCATGACCTGAGCTCAAACCAAGAGTCGGATGCTCAACCAACTGAGTCACCCAGGTGCCCCTGCATCATGTGTTTTGATTTTGTTTCTTACTCTCTCCTATACTAGTCTCCAGCTCGCTCTTTTCTTATCCTTTTCCTTAGGTTTTCCAGTAATCCCAATGTGGTGGACAGAACCTAAGGTAACCCCCAGTGATTCCGGCCTCCTGGTATTCACACAAAGGTGTGATCCTCTTTTTGAGTTCCAGTGGGACCTGTGACTTTCTTCTAACCTATAGAATATGGCAGAAGTGTTGGGAAAGTAGTCACTCCCACTGCATACATAATAAGTTTCATTATGTGAAACCCTGTCTTAGCAGACTGGAACTAGAGACTCTCCTTGTGGGCCTGATAAGGTAAGCAGCCATGTTGGAGAAGCCCACATGGCAAGGAACTGCGGTAACCCCCGGGGAACTGCAGATGGCCTCTGGAACTATTTTGCTGCTTTGCTGACAGCCAGCAAAAACCCCAGGCCCTGAGTCATACAGACAAAAAGGAAATAAGTTCTGCCAACAAAACCTGAATGGGCTTGCAGGTGGATTCTTCCCCAGTTGAGTGTCCAGATGAGGATGCAGCCTTGCTGATACCTTGATTACAGCCTTCTGAGACTCAGGGCAAAGGATTCAGCTGACCAGGCTGGCACTCCTGAGCTGGAACCTATGAAACAATAATGTGTGTTGTTTTAAGCCACTAAATTTGTGATAATTTGTTACACAGCAATTTGTTAAATGAATACACCCAACATTCTTGAAAAATACTGTGGCATCAACCCTACATCAACCCGGATATCTAGAAAATCCTTGGTCTGGGTCCAGATCACAGAGCTGGGTGAGGGAGGCCAGAGGATGTGCCGCACATACCCCCTAGGCACTCTGAACTTCAAGATAGTAGTTAACAGGCCCCTGGTTTTGTTTCACAGCAGACTGTCCCCCCACCCCTACCCCTGCCTGCCTGCCCCCCCGCCCCCCGAAATACCTATCCGGTCAGTCCTCAGAGATGGGTGAAGCCTGGCCCTGGAATTACAGATTGTCAGAAGTAGATCAAGAAGTCCACCCCTCGAATCTCGGCGCTTGGCAAGGTGCCTGGAGCCCAGGGGACGCCCAACAAATGCTTTCATTGCAAAACAACAGAAAGCTCCCGGGAGCGCGCATCTGCAGCCCCGTCGTTGTGCAGAGGGGACCGCCGCGGCTCAGGGTCGGCAGGGACAGCACAGGGCCCCGCAGGGGAGCCGGACCCGGCCGCGGGGCGCGAGCGCCATCCCGGGCCCAGGCGGAGGGGGCGCTGCGGCGGGAGGC